CTTCCATCCATGTATCCATGGCTCTGCACAGCCTTACGAGAGAGAAAAAGTGAGGAGCAGGGCTATGAAGTATAGAACTGGGGAAAATGTCTGCAGCTTCTTTAAAAACTGGCAGAGCTTAGCACAGTGTCTTTCACAGAAAAGTCACAGGGTTAAGACTTCTTGAGCAGTACCAAGGTCCCAGGGGCAGCCATGGGGTGGTGTTTTTGTGCATCCACAAGCATGGGCATGAGCATGAGCTTGCTAGTTAATGCATGTATGCATACCTACAGTGCAGCTCTGTAGAAGCACAAGGCCAGGACACGAGGGGACCGCTCACCTCCTGTGCTCCTGGAATTAGAATGAGAAAGATAGTCTGTCCCTTACAATGTCTGCCAGGGGCTGTCTGAAAAGGTCGGGTAAAGGTAAAGTGGTAGAGTCCCATGTGGTCTGGCTAGTAGAGTACAGTCACTGTCTGTCCCATGCACCAGCTGGTCATCTCAAGAAGACCTATGACCTATCTCAGGGTCCTAAGAAGGACAGGGTGAATGGCTCATAGAAATAGCTAACATGCATCAAAAGCCTAGTACGTACAAGGCACTGTGTCACTCAATCCACCCACCTTAAGAAAAGCATTACTAGTCCCATTTAAAAGATGAGAAACTAAGACTCAGAGAGATTATGTAATTGCTCACAGTCATCCTGGCATCCTAATAACTGATGAAACTAAATCTGACTACAAAGTGTTTGCTCTTGGCACGATGGTGAGCTCTCTGCTGCCACCAGCACATACATGTGCACACACCTAGTGTAGGGTCTACTGAGAGAGGGTGAAGGGTGGGAAGGGTGCTTTTGTTGCAAACAGTGTATGGGTTTCACTTGCAGAATGCTAGGGATCTTGAAAAAGATTTTGGCTTCGATGGTGCAGAAGTCTAAAGAGAGGGACTGAGACATAAGACAAGCTCTAACTGAATAGAGGGAAAAATAGGAAAGGAATTAAATAGACCACACACATCTCTCTTTAGGGCCTTATGCTAGGGAAGCATCTAGATCACTCTGAATGTTTAGCTCTTAGTTTGGATGATGGGAGGGGCTAGAGAGTGTAGCAGGCACATATTTAGCTGCATTTCAATTTAGACTGTGACTGTAGGAATTATTTTTAATTTAGGAGGGTAGTGCATCGTTAATAAATCATATCATATAAACTTAACAGCCTGAAAAGTGCAAGGTTAAAATGCAAGTGATTTCGAAACCAGAGGCAAAGTACAAATCCTATGTTGTCCTGAGATACAGAGATGCACTAACTTTAGCAGATGTTTTGGCTGCTATGGAAGGAGGGCAGATCCCTTGGTGTATGCGAACTCAGAGGCTGGGAGTCAAGGAGACTCTATTTCTCCCTGGCTGCTCCTCCCTCATCCTGTGACCAGTAATATGAACTCTGGTTGGGAATGACCATGGAAGACTCACAAGTGCCTCCTATACCTTTAGCCTCTTGCTTTCCCTGCAAAATTGTGATGTCACATCAGTAAGCCAGTCAAAAACCATTTATTGCATGGCCTGAGGTGTGGTTTATGAATGGTGAGCAATGTATCAAAAATTACACTATTGCTGCTTTGGAAAACTAAGGTGACTATCAGAGCATTTATTTCCTGGGAGTATCAGTGAAGGTTTCCCCAAGGGTATGATGCTGAAACCGATGCCTGAAGCTTAAGTAGGGGTAACTAAGGATGGGGTAAGAGCATTTTTGATAGAGGAAACCATGAGTGGGAGTCCCTGGCATTGGGTTCAAAGTTCTGACTTGTTTATGGAGAGAAAGATGCTTAGCATAGCTAGTTAAGTTGCTCTGACAACGGTTCCCAACCAGGAGAGATTCTGTCTTCCAAGGGACACTTGGCAGTGTTGGAGATATTTGCAGTTGTCACAGCATGGGGTGTGAACACTCCTGGCATCTAGGGGCAGATGCGCAGATGCTGCTAAATCCTACAGAGCTCAACATGGCACCTTAAAACACATAATCGTCCAACCCAAAATGTCAGTAATTCTGACATTGAGGAACTCTTCAACAGAAGCCCAAATACAGAGGTTTACACAAAACAGATGTATTGCCTGGATGTGACTGCCCAAATGTATTGGTTTGCCTGACTGGACCAGCTCTGCAGTGCCACGAACCTCGGCTCCTTCTGTCCTGCGGCTCTGCATCCCCTCGGCACAGGCGGGCAGCCCTCTCTGTGAAGAGCGGATTGGAAGTGTTTTGGCTTTGCAAGTCACATAGTCTCTGTCGCAACTTCTGGATCGAGACTCTCAGTTGCGAGCAACTACAGACAATACCTGCGTGAATGGACATGCTGGGTTCCGATCATCTTTACTGGCATAAGCACGGTGGACTGGGTTTGGCCTGTAGGATGTAGTGTGGGCCCCTGTCTGGTCAAATGTGCTTGGTCTGCTAATTATTAGGAGGGGGAGTCATGGTTATAGGGGGCAGGCTTATTTCCTGTTGAGGGACAACATCATTTCTGCTCATGTCCTATTGTCCAGAACTCAGAGAGGCTGGAAATATAGTTCTTGGCTGGACAGTCAGAGGCCCAGGGGAAACTCAGCTTTTTTTTTTTTTTAACATAAGGGAAAATGATTATGGAGGGACAATTGCCAGTGTCTTCAGTTGCTGAAGTATAGAACTAAGAGGGAAGCATCAGATGAAGCTAGCCAGTGAGGCAGGGTGAGATCATGCCTGTCTCAGAGGTGAAGTGAGTGGAGGGTGCAGATTTTCTCTTCAGAGAACCAAGTAGTTATCAGCCATGGCACAGAATTATTTTTCCATTTTAAAAAGATCACCCTGGCCATGGTGTGGAAATGGAAGGGGCGTGCTGCCATCATCCAGGTAAGAGACCTGGTGGCTTCAATGAGGATGGTGGTAAAGACATGCAGTAAATGGGTGAGATTTTAGAGGGAAGGTGCTGCAGCTCAATACAGATTAAACTCCCTTTTTAGGAATTGAGTAAAAGTAGATTTATTATTAATACTAAAAGAAAACTCGATCACCGTTGCCCATCGGATGCAGCCCCAGCTGGCCCTCGTCTGCTACTTTCCTCTTTTTCCTCCAGGACTCAGATGCCCATTGCTGATCATCTTCTCTGGGGAAAAGCCCCCCTGGTTCTCCCAAGCATGAGACTCTGGGCTGAAGGGGTTCACAAATCCCAATTGTAGTGAGTGGGCAACCCCAGTGCTGGACACAAGCAAAACGAAGAAGCGGTGTGTGTTTTGAGACTGACTGGCACCAAGGGAGACAAAAGCCTACATTATAATTATGCCAAGCATATAATATGATGTAGCCGGCTACTGTCTCCAATATGCCCTAAAGTGCAGTGCAAGGGCGTTGGATAGTAGAATGCTCTAGACCTGGTATCTGTGCCATTGGAAACCTGAGAAAGCCACAGCACCTTCTCTTCTGTTAGTAAACAATGCCATTGGCATTTATTGAGCATCTACTGGATGCCACGCTCAATCCTGGGGACACAGAGGTGAACAAACATGACCTATGACTTCTTCAATTTCTGCCTCTAATCCCTGTAAACAGAAGATGAGCAAATGTTTCCCTCATTTGTTTAAAATGAGTTTCTAGTAATGAAGGTATCTTAACTGGCAATCTCAGTAATAAGGCTCCTGCCAAGATCCTTTGGCTTTTATGGTTAGCTTGGTGGACACACTTGGCCTTGAAAGACAATGCCATCCAGTAATTCTCTTTCAAGGAATTGCCTGAATGACTCTAGGCATCATTTCCTAAAGAGAGAGGACATCACATTCTTCCGATCTTCATTTTTTCGGGGATGTCAAAATTGTTATGGTGACGAACCTGGCTAATTCACAAAATAACAACTCTGAGAGAGAAATGACTCATGTGTAGCTCTGACATGGCCTCTTCTTCCTCTAATTCCTTTCTGTTGAAGTATGTCAGCCAACTACTTTTTAGTATCACTCCATCTATCACGCCATAGCCATAGTCTGTATACAGATGCATTAGGGTCCTTGCATCCCAGGGTGGTAACTTCAGGAAGCATAGGCAGGGCCAGCCCACCGGAGTGCTCACCTCCAAATGGCCATTCACCCAGTCTTATGTTATTTTTGCAGCTCAGTTCTTGCCTGACACTGTGCCAAGGTTTTCCCTGGTCTTCCTAAATTAAGCGTTATCCCATTTAATCTACCTCAACTCTGTGAGGCAGGTACTAATGATATCTCCCTTTTACAGATGAGCAGACTGAGGTGAATGGCTTACAACAGTCATACAGCCGCTAAGTCTTAGAACCAGTATTTGAACACAGGCTTTTCTGACCCCCAAGGTCATAATGCTCTACTGTCCCCTTTGTTCAAAGTTTATTTATTGAACATCTTTTTATTACTAAGTCCATATCACTCTGTCTCATCATGATGGTCTCATGGGCTCAAGTTCAGCTGATTGTGTCTCGCCGAAAGGCAAGGTGTTTATGTATGACAGGGGTCAGCAAACTAAGGCCTGCAGACTAAATCCATTCCAAATCCTTTTGAAAGCAAAACTTTATTGGAATGTGTTTCAGTAAAGCCACCACCATTCATTCCCTTTGGTTGCCCTTGTGCCACAACATTATGTGGTGCGGTTGTGACAGAGACAGCGTGGCCAGCAAAGCCGGCAGTATTTACTCTCTGGTTCTTTACAGAAAAAGCTTGCCAAACGCCAAGACAGAGCACAATTGTATGTATTGTTTCTTCGATGAACTCGTTTCTAACGACTAGACTGGTGTCATACAATGACAGTGTAAATGTTAAGTTTATACGTCTGTATTATTTGTTCAATAAATTGTCATCAACTGCCACAAAACACAAAGGTCAGAAACCTATCTGAGGGGGAATTTCAGCACGGAGAAAATGCACTATTCCCAATTGAAGTGTGAAAATGTGAAACTTCTTTTGACTTTTTCCAAATGGCACCCCTAAGTTTTTGCTACTACAGTCTTCCCCCTTATCCATGGTTTTGCTTTTCATGGTTTCAGGTACCTGCTGTCAAGCATGGTCTGGAAGCAGATGACCTTACTCCTGATATACGGTCAGAAGGTTAGTGGTAGCCTAACACTACATCCCACTGCGTCCGTCCTCCACCTCACTGCATCTGATCACATGGGCATTTCACATCTCACATCATCATGGGGATATGAAGGGTGAGGACAGTACAATAAGATATTTTGAGAAACCACATTTCCATAACTTTTTTTACATATATTATTACAACTGTTCTATTTTTTTGTTAATGATTTTCATATCTTATTGTGCTTAATTTATAAACTAAACTTCATCATAGGGTTTGGTACTAACTGTAGTTTCAGGCATCTACTGGGGGTCTTGGCATATATCCCCTGTGGATAAGGAGGCACCTACTGCATCTGAGGTTGTGTGCAATTTTTGGACCAGCACCCCCTGATTCCATTTACAAACTGGGTAGTCCCTGTCTTGGATCATCGATTCCTGCCCTCTGGAAACAAAAACAAAAATAAATATTCCAAAAATTAGAAACACACTTTTCCACTTACCTGCTACCATTTAAAGAACCATCAGAAACTGTAGTTCTAGAGTAGAAAGAACACCAGCATGAGCTCTCCAATTCCAGCTTTATCTTCATCTTTAAGCTTACACAACCCACAGATAAATTATAAGTTACTACAAAGATTCCCACCAGTGACAAACTGACTCACTGTCCTCCAAGTCCTTTCATCTTTCTGGATTCCACTTCTAAGGCTCTCTTTATTCTGTCGAGATGGAGTGTGCTGTTTGCCAAAATTACAGAGAATATGCCAGCATTTGGACACATTTTCCATTTTACCTGCACAGAAAAAAATCATCGCTGAAGATTTTTCCATGATTGCTTTTTGCCATCCCCCACCCCCATAAAAAAGTCACTCATGGCCAAATATATTTGTAAAATACTTTGTGTCTGCTCCTGAACTGTGATGAAAATAGGGTGAAAAGTTAAAGTGACTTTAATCTGTAAAAATACAGCATATGACTATCCTAGAGACACCCTAGTATTGTAGGACTATTTTCATTAATGTTCCACCTCAGTTTTATCATTGCCAAGTTCCTGCTTGATCTGGGTACCAGCACCGCAGTTTCAGGACAAGATTTCAAAGACCAGTGATGTCACACTTCTCTTGGTTGGCTGACATCTCAGAAAGGTTCTGTCTGAAGTCCTCCCAGAAGAAAAGAAGTTCCTCTTTTGTTGTCAAAAATGATAAAAAGAAAAGGCAAGGAAAAGAAAAACAGTGAACAAGTCTCTTTTTGAATACAATCGAATGACATTTAAATGAGAGCTATTGTGAGTTTCCATTACTGCGGGGTGGGGGGAGAGGGGCAGACCCTCTGGAAGTCATCAGTTTGAGGGCTGCAGCTCTCCCTTCTGCCAGCTCAGACCTCTGTTCGTGCCACTCCCAAAGTGGTTTATAGTAAAAAGCACCCCATTGACCGATGAACCCCTGAACACTATGCTAGTTATTTGAGCCCCAGGTGGCCAGAGGAGGTGATATCACTCTGCAGGATTCTGCTTGTCAAATCATTCAGCAAAAGAAGACACACGGAAGGAGTTGCTAATAGTCCATTCCCAGGGAACAGGCAGCACTCAAATGGGAGCCGTCACTCTAGACAACAGAGAGTGGCATCTTCCCCACCAGCCTGAAATACCGCCACATAGCACCGGTGTCAAGTCTTCAGGGGTTTCTACATATAAAAACTTGTTAATGAGTGATTATTACCATAGGTTCGGTAAGCACAGATTATTATTATCATAATTTTACAGAGTAAATGAAAGTGATGAAGAAGGTGCCAGGAGAAAAATTAAAATTAACGAGTTCCAAGATAACAGGCCTGAGTTGCAAGGATGGTAAAGAGCTTGTTTATTTTAAAGAAAACGCTGAAAAGTGAAGCTTAAACACTGGAAAAACAGATTTTCCAAATTAAAAATATCCTATTTATTAATGAAACCAAGGCTGGAGTTCTGTTTTTATTTGTGACTATTTCCTTTTATGATCATATACCTTCCCGTATAGCTGTGATGACCCAGCCATGTTATTTTTGATGGGGGATTCCAGGCAATCATAAGCCTCGCTCTTCAAATCACAGTCCTTGTTTTTTTTCTTTGTAAGAATAACCAAGGTTACAGACATCTGAAAATTGTGTTTTGGTCCAGTAAATATTTGGGTAGGTTACATAGCCAATTGACATGTTTACCCAGTGTCCACTGTGAGCCAAACACTGTCCTAGGTCCTGGGGACCCAGCATTGACCAACGTGGTGGGTATCTTTCAAACTTTAAATGTTTTAATTCAACTTTAGAGGCTGTCCCTTTGTGTGATTTAGCTAAAGGAAAAGAAAAGTCATTTTGAATGCATTTATTAAAAAGAGCATTACCTTGCTCTGTTCTATGCATATGTTTCCCCTTCACAGATGACCACTTCAAGTGAAGCCTAACTGATAATGGTGAAGGAGGCTGGCTGGTGTTTTTGAAATTTATTCCAAGACAGTGGATCTACATATACTTTATAGCTAATGCTTCTTTCCCCTTTTAGAACTAGTGATGACTTCTGTAATAACGCTGTAGTGGGCAGACATTCTCTGCCTTTTGGGCATCTCTTTGGGGAACCACACCCTAGCCTACCTTCATTTCTTGTGGTCTGGGTCAGATTGTCCCCACTCCCTAGTGCAGATAAGCACAGATGACCTAAGGCGGGCCAAGAGGCATGCCTTAGACATTTACTGAAACTATCAAGAAAAGGATACTCTTTCTGTTGGAGTTAATAAGTTCATGAGATGCAGACCTGGACTGCAGAGGCTGTCTGTCTAACTGTGTGGGGAGAACCTGCCTGAGAAGGAAGCCAACCCAGAGAAAAACAGGGCTGATAATGTGTTCACATGAACACCTGGATGTGGCAGTGCCTGAAGCCATTTTTACCTCCTCAACTTTTCAGTGATGTGGCCAGTCTTTTCTTATTTATTTATTTATTTTTTAATGCTTGAGTCACTTTGGATTGGGTTTCAGAAACTTGTAGGCAAAAAGAGTTCTAACGCAATTCAAATAAATATATTTTTTAAAATACAGCCTTTGACACAAATGAGAAAATAAACCCTGGTTTTAATAGATATAATCTTAGGTAAAAAAGCTTATGCATGTATAGAGACACATAAAGAGTGCTAATATCCATCATTCCCTTCTTCCTTATTAACAGAACCCTATTAGCATTTCTGTCTTTTTATCATAGCTTTATTGAGATATAATTCAGATACCATGAAATTTACCCTTTGAAAGAGTACAGTTCAGTGACTTTTAATGTATTCAGTTATATAGCCATCAGTATGATTAATTTTATATTTTCATCACCTCAAAAAGAAATCCCAAATCCATTAACAGTCACTCCTCATTTCCCCCTTCCTCCAGCTTCTGACAAGTGCTAAGCTCTGTCTCTACAGATTCCGTGCAAAAGGAATCATACAATATGTGGCCTTTATATTTAGCTTCTTTCACTCAGAATAATTTTTTTCAATGCCAATCCATGTTATAGCATGAATCAGTACTTCATTCCTTGTCATGGTGAATGATCGTCTGCTACATGGATGAGCCACATTTTGTTGATAGAATTCATCACTTCATGGACATACGAGTTGTTTCAACTTTTTTGGCTCTCATGAATAATGTTGCTCTGAACGTTATGGACAAGTGTTTGTTTGGACATATGCTTTCAGTTCTCTTGTGTATATATCTAGAACTGGGATTGCTGGGCCACATGGTCACTAAATGTTTATCATTCTGGGGAACCGCCGAACTGCTTTCCAAAGTGGCTGTCCTATTTTACAATCCCACCAGCAATATATGAAGGTTCCAATTTCTCCATAGCTTTACCAACACTTGTTATTGTCTGTCTTTTTGATGTGGATGTGAAATGGTATCTCATGGTAAAACCCTATTAATATTCCAGGAAGCAAGGTGCCCTCATAAAAAACTATATTTCACAAATCCTCTTCTTTGCACATAGGGGCTACTGCTGACAAGTAACAGAAAGAAAGCTCTTAGCAGGCTGAGTTAGCAGTGGGGATTATGGGCCTTCCTCTCTTTCTTTGATCTTTCTGCCTGGGATGGTTGGCTTTGTAGTGGACACCTTGGCCCATGCGGTGAGCACAGAGGCCATTCCCTATTGATGGTTAAGCAGAAAATAAAAGAATCCTGAGTTCTTGATGACTTGGAAGCCACTGCATCAGCATTGGGCTGCTAACTATGGATATTTATTTACCTGAGGGAGAATGTAATTTCTAGTTTGTGTATTCCATGCATTTGCATGTTCTGTTTTATTCAGTTAAACTTAATCTTTTTTTCTCTTGTATGTATAAAGGGATGTTTATGTATATGTGAATGTATGTTATATATATATACACACATACATGTGTATGCCATATGTAAAGTGTGTGTGCACAGATACATATACACACACATTATGTGCATTGGCTAGGTGCTCACAGAGCCTAATTTTTCTCCCTGAGAACATTATTTCCTGAGACCACATTTCCCAGACTCCCTTGCTATCAGTTTGGCCCTGTGACTGAATTATAATTGGTAGAATGTGGGTAGAAATAATGTATGCCATCCCAGGCCTAGTCCACAAAGACTTTCATGGGCAATCTTCCATTCTTTTTCTCCATTCACTGACTGAAAGCAGAAACCTCTGAGGAGAGGACATGAAGTGGGGCAGAGCCATTTGATGGAAGGAACCTGGGGCCCTGAATGACTCCATGGGTACCTACCCCAGGACAAGAGTGAGAAACAATTCCTCAGTGTTAGTTCTAAGAGCATTTGGGGTTTGCTTTCATATATACATATACATATTACATAAATATATACATATACATACACATTCATATTTATATAAAATGACATAATTTACTCAAGGTCACCATGAACAGTGTAACACAGGTCTCCTGACACCTAGTTCAATCCTTGCTTTACTGTACTGGGTGGAAGGGGTATTTGAGTGTCTGCAATGACAGTATGTTTCATCCTATATATTTAGAAAGTCATCTAGCTTCT